CGCCCGGCTCTCGCTGCTGCACGTGACCATCTCCAGCTCCTGCGCTGCAGCATCGGCCTCCGGGCACCCAGTTTGCTCCTTTGCGCTCCATCCCAATAAAAGCGTGCAAGTCCCTTCGGCTCCGGCCTTCAGCCTGTTTCCTACCCGCCGGGGAGGCTCGGGGAGGGAGCGCTGTCCGCAGGTAACTGGAAGCTTCCCAGGAGGCTCCCCGGCTGCGCCCGCTGGGATCTGTCACCGCTCAGCCCAGGGCACAGCAGCTCCGGGCACCCAGTTTGCTCCTTTGCGCTCCATCCCAATAAAAGCGTGCAAGTCCCTTCGGCTCCGGCCTTCAGCCTGTTTCCTACCCGCCGGGGAGGCTCGGGGAGGGAGCGCTGTCCGCAGGTAACTGGAAGCTTCCCAGGAGGCTCCCCGGCTGCGCCCGCTGGGATCTGTCACCGCTCAGCCCAGGGCACAGCAGCTGTGCCCAGGGACCCCCCTTCCACCCGCCGTGGGGGACAGCAGGACGCAAGGCACGGCCGATAAGACACCCTGGAAGCGTGGGGTGTAGGGGCTGGAAAGCCACAGGGAAGGGGAAAGAGGCAGCCAGCTCGGGGAGGCACAGAGAGGCAGAGGCTACAGCTCAGCCATTTTTCAAACCAATTAAGTTTCCTTCATTGTTTTAAAATAAAAAAAAAAAAAAATTAAAAAAAAAAAAGAAGAAAAAGAAAATAAAGAAACCCCAACCCTCGCCCTACCCCCACTTCCTTCACGGAGAACCTGAACAGAGCAGAGAGGAACCACAGTGCAAGCACCTCTCATGTGACCACCGGCTTCCTGTGCGCCTCCCGGCCTCGGTGCCGGTGCCTCGGTACGTGCCGTGCCAGGCGCTGCCCGAACACTGCACCCCTGCCGCCGGGGCCCCAGCACCATGCTGCGCCGCAAGCCCTCCAATGCCGGGGAGAAGGAGCCAGGACACAAGAAGGTCGAGCCCGGGGGGCAGCTCTGCCCTCTCACCCGTCAGGAGAGACCCTGGCACGACGGGAGAGGGGGCAGCGCCGGCTGCCCCATTCATACCCTGCACCCGCTGCCCGGCACGGCCCAGGTCAACGCTGCGAGGGGCCAGGGGAGAGGAGCTCGGGCTCCGGAGGGACGCGGCTCCCCACTTCGCTCTGCTCCACGCCGCCGTCGGAAACGGGACGGCACAGGAGGCCAGGGAAGGAGGAGCAGCAACTTGAGGCTGCCAGCAGGAGCAGGGCTGCCCTGGCAGGACACCCTCTGCCACCCACCCGCTCACCACACGTCTGCGGGGAGGCACAGGGGTCCCCAGCACTCGTGGGAGGGGATGGAGGGCTGCCAGGGCACAAAACAGCCTTCCCTCCACCGCCGGGCCCTGCGGGCACCCCGCAGACATGAGGCTCTTCCCAGCTCGGCTGCCAGGCGCAGGACAGGGAGCAGGGAGTGGAAGAGGAGCCCTGCGGTGGCACGGAGGCCTCCC